TGCTCATCTATGGTGATAACAGCAGGCCCTCAGGCATCCCTGAGCGGTTCTCTGGCTCCAAGTCAGGGGGCACAGCCACCCTGACCATCAGCGGGGCCCAGGCTGAGGATGAGGCTGACTATTACTGTCAATCATTTGACTACAGTGGTAATGCTCACAGTGACACAGGCAAATGGGGAAGTGGGACACAAACCCCTTGCCACCTGCGTCACACAAGAAACAATTCCCATCTGGTCATGAAATTGCACAGATGATAAAATTTGGTGGAAGGATGCTCAAGCAATGGTTATCCTCATCCTCCACTTGTTCATGAGGGTAGAGGAATGACTGCCTAGGTTCACTACAGACTAGGGACATACTGCAGTCTTTGGGGCAGAAAAGAGGTGGAGGAGGTGGAAATAAAAACTTTTGAAGACATACTGGTTGAAAAGTTTCTAATTTCAATGGAAACGAGGAACCCACAGATCCAAGAGCTCCACAATCTCCAAGCACAAGTAACACAAAGGAAACAACACCAACACACACCGACGTCGAGTCCTTAGAACCGGTGTCGAGGAGAAGCTCATAAAAGCAGGTGGAGAGAAAGCACATGTTCTCCCCAGAGGAAGGAGCAAAGTGGGTTGAGGGCGTCGCTCCTTCGGGACCACCAGATGGGCGAGCAGACACTGCAGTTGTCTCTTTAGAATCAAAAAGTAAAAACAACACAACACAACACAACAGCAAGAGAAGCAGCCATGTCCACTCTGAACTCTACTCACTGGAAATATCTGTAAATATTAAGGCAAACACGCTCGTGTAGTTCAAAGTTCTGAGAGGCAGAGGGATACGTGGTGACATCGGTGCCCTGCGTGAGAAGCGGTGCGCTGTCCGGGCAAGGTCGGCCTGTACTGTCAACCCCGCAGCCAACCTTCAAATAAAACCAATTTAAACAACAATTTCAGACAATCAACCACAAAAGAATACAATATTAAATCATAAAAAATATGCAGTTAATGGAAAATAGAGAAAAAGCAAAGTAGCAATGAGGAAGACATGGGACAAAATGTAAAGAAGAAGCAAGATGAGACATTTTCACAGACATGTATTATGAATCCTGTCGATGGTAAGTGGGGGAAAACCCACAATTGAAAGGCAGATGCATGCAGATTCAGTTTTACAGCAAGACCCGTGGAAATGGCCTTGAACAGCCAGAGTGCTTTCCCAGCCCACAGACCCTCCGGCTCTAACCCGGGACACAGCCCCCTGCCCTCCCCCATGTGCAGGCTGAAGGGGACTCCTTATGATGATCGGGGGTCTCCTTTCTGCACCGGGACCCTCCATAACCCTGACATCATTCATTGGTCTTCATTTCCAAAATTTTTGCTGATTCTTCACTTAGAACCATAGGAAAGGGATGAAACCACAGAGGGAAAAGAAAACCATTAGAAATGATGGATAGAAGGAAAAACATACAATCACATAGCACGTCGCCCTGGGATTAGCGTTGGTCACTCTGCATAATCCCCTGTAGATGCACGCAAACTGCCCTGTGCGCTCAGCATCCGTTCCTTTTCATGGCTGAGTACTGGTCCACGTTTCCGTTCCAAAAGTCTCGGACCCAGTCAGTCACCCACTGAAGGATGTCAACACTGCTCTCAGCTGGGGCTGGTCCGCACTCAGGATCTGTGGACTAATGCGTCTAATTTTCCTGTGACCATAAGTTCTCACTTCTTTAAAATTAATGCTCAGTTGTGCATGGCTGGGGTGTATGGTGACCTCAAGGTAAATTCTTTAAGAAGCTGCCAACTCTTTTGCAGACATTCTGCACCAGATCCCACTTCTCTTAGTCACGCATGTGCCACTGAGTTCTCCACATCTTTGCCAGCATTCGGGGTCGTCCGGATTTTTATTGTAGCTCCTCTGACAGGTGAGAAGTGGTACTTCACAGTGATTTCATCTGCATTTCCCTCCTGGCTGATAAGGGAGGTCTTTTCACGTGCTCATGGCCACCCCTCTGCGCTCTTCCACAAAATATTTGTTCTAGTCCACTGGCCGTTCTCTAAGTGAATTCTTCTTGTCATTTTTTTTTCCTTTTTACTCTTCAGAGTTCAGCCTGTTTAGATACTCCCTCAATTAGTCATTCATAGGTTATATGATTTTCAAATATTTTCTTTCTGTCTGTTATTTGGGTGTTTTTCATCCCCATTACATAGTTTGCAAACAAAAGATATTGATACTAATGGGGTTCAAAATTTTGATATTTCTTTTCTGAATCATGTATGTGGCATCCCTAAACAATTCTTGCTTAATCCTAGAGCTGAATGGCTTACCAGTTTTTATTCTAAAATAAATTGATATATTTTAAAAGATTTCCTCTGAGTTACATGAGCAATTTCACTGGGTCTGATGATGGAATTCTGGCCTCTCACAGCAGCCTGGTGCCTGCAGTTCCCACAGCACCTGCTCTAAGCACTGCCCAGCCCCCACTGTGATGCCCTCAGCAATGGACAGGATGACTGTGTCACCCAGGCCCAGAGGGGAAGCCCAGGCTCAGACTGAGCTGTGCTTGCATGTGCTGGGGGCAGGGGGCAGCACTTCCTCACTCAGCACCAGATACTCTTCTGGGACCTGAGCGCGGGCCTGGGAGTGGGGCCTCCACTGAAATCCTCCGTTGAGCCCAGCTGCTCTCTGCTGAGCAGGGAGTTGGTCAACAAGGCCACAAAGCCAGGAAGCAGATTTGCATAAGGATGTCCCTTCTGAGGATAAGAGAGGGCCAAAGACTCCACCCCCAGCTGTGGGCTCAGAGGCAGAGCTCAGGGCACCTCCACCATGGCCTGGACCCCCCTCCTGCTGCCCTTCCTCTCTCTCTGCACAGGTACTGCCCCCAGGGCACAGACCCCAGGGTACCCAGGGATCAGCCTGGACCTGAATCTAAGCTCAACACCGGGGATGCTGCGGGGTACGTGGTCCTAGGGAATGAGACCCTGGTCCAAAGTTACTCTCCTCTCCTCTCCGCTCCTGCAGGTTATGTGGCCTCTTCTGCACTGACTCAGCCCTCCATGGTGTCCGTGTCCTTGGGACAGACGGCCAGGACCACCTGCCAAGGAGGCAGCTTAGGTAGCTATGGTGCTAACTGGTACCAGCAGAAGCCAGGCCGGGCCCCTGTGCTGGTCATCTATGAGGACAGCAAGAGACCCTCAGGGATCCCTGAGTGGTTTTCTGGCTCCAAGTCAGGGGGCCCAGCCACCCTGACCATCAGCGGGGCCCAGGCCGAGGATGAGGCCGACTATTACTGTCAGGTATGGGACAGCAGTGGGTATAATGCTCACAGTGATAGAGGCAGATGGGGAAGTGGAACAAAAAAAAACCCTCCATCTGTGTCAGCCTCTCCTCTAGCCCCAGGAGGCCTGTGGACAAAGCAGTGACAGATCTGGCC